AGTAGTCATTATATATATATATAAATTAATATATATATATATATAATTATATATATATATATATATGTTAGTGTAATTAAATAATTATAGTAGATATTTAATTGCTAAGACAACAAAATTATATAACGAACCTTTTGGAGACAAAACTTAACAATTATGTATTTCAAGAAAGAATAAACATTTATGTTATATATATAATTTTTTTATAAGAAATTATGTTTGTAGTCAATTTTTGCTGACTGTTATAATGATGAAATACTTGTTTTCCTGATTGAATAACTTTTATTATAAAGTTGTTAAAATTTTTATTTTGATATGTTAACATTAGGAAAGCACAAACAAGATATCAGAGGTACAATGTACACGTCATATTGGTGTAAAAGAAAAGATATTGGATCAGGTGTCGAATAAATTACAAGAATATGGTTCTCCACATAGAATAAACAATTCAACTGATATGTACAGAAATATTGATCTACTTACCACCTCCTTGCATCATTTTGTAAAACTTGGATTCTATGTGCAATTGTGGATGTCGTGTTTTTATACATTCTAACTTGATAGCGACTTCCTCGCCGGTAGAAATATTGGTACCTACAAATAGAATAGGTCCAAAAAGATAAATAAAAGATATATCTGGGCACGTGAATATAGATGCATTTCTCTCACAAATGCATATGCCGCACGCACACTTCGCACGCGCATCACAGCGCACGCACGCAAGCACGCACGAATACGAATACAAAAGAAAAAAAAAAAAAGACAAAAAAGATGAGTAGAGAAAGAAAAGACGAGAATAACGGAATAAGAGGAGAAAGAGAAGTGGAAATAATATATAAGTTGGCGCGCGGTTTTACGTGGAATACTCGAAATTTACTGTATCGATGAAAAAAATTTTAGTAAAAGTGAAGGGAAGAGGGACCGATGACATCAAGTGGCGAGCTTGACGAGAAACCCGCGCGGGCAGCACAACGGATAAACGATAAAAAGAGGGGGAGGGGGAGAGGGAGAAAAGTTTACCTAGGTAAATGTCGCCAAAGGAACCGCTCCCGATTTTCCTTCCTAGCCGGTACTTGTTACCAACACGTAGCTCCATCGTCCACACAAGTCCGCGCGACACAATCCGATAGAAATATCACAATCGCGGTCACAGTCACGGCGCTAGTCGCAAAGTGACTAGTACACCAACAGCCTAATGTAGGCAGCAACAGCAGCAGCTGACCGACGTGAGCGTGAAATACAATGCCCACTCTTGCACAGCGATAATAGACAACGTGTACTAGAACGGCCGACTCGTTCGCGTTACTGGTTCGATGGCGATAATACCTCCATACTTGTACAGAAACTTGGACTGATCGATCTCGAACCTACGGGCATTTCTCCGTGGCTAGTGGCGAACGGAATAGCGCACCTCGTTGCGATGGAGGTCGTTGATGGCGGCGGCGCTACATTCGCGCTAGTCTGTCGCTTTTGCCGTGTTATGGACGGTGCTGCTGCTAGGCAGGTAGATAGATAAGTAGAGATCAGCGAGGTTAATGGCATCGAACCAACGAGTTTCGTCTTCTATGGTGGGCGGTCAATCAGTCGTAATAAAATTGGCTGAGTATATAGTGCACGGAAACCCTGTTGACGATGTAGCTGCGATAGCGGAATAGGAAGAAAGATTGAATCTTGCGGTAAATGTCGAGCCGATTGTACAAACGCGCGTGACAACCAATAAGAGTGCGCACAGGGCATCTGCCCGCAGCGTCCAAACAGACGAGCGACAACGAAGCACGGTTAAAGATGTTGCAAGTCGCAATGATGTTTCGTGCTGCGTGTGATGGTACGCACGTTTCTCCGACTGAAAAACGGCTACTGAAGAAAGGAAAGAAGGGAACAATCGTGCGAAGGTAGCGCCCTCATTTTGCATCTGTGTGTATGTACGCGGTGTCTGTATGTGCGTATGCATTGCGTATATACAGGGTGTCCCACAATTCGTGACCGAAATTTTTATAACATTCTTAACTTAAAAATAAGACAAAATCTAACCTAATACGAAAATGTCAAGGCTATAATAGTTTTTAAATTATTAGCGATTAAAGTTGACTAATCATAGAGCTAACATTTTGCACGCTCAAACATGACATGATATAACAAATGGTAAAAAGTGCTATGCGAGAGCTCTTAACAACAATAATTGAGATTAACATATAAATATATTGATATGATAAGCGATTATATTTTTATTGAGAAATTATTATTTTTATTTTTATTCTTTATGCTTCTACAAGAAATCTGTTTGTCATTAATATTACATTACATATGTATAATTAATATTAAAACATCACGAAATATCACAATTAAGTAGTCTTTCCACTTTCAACTGTGATTGGTCAATTCTTATGGCTTGCGACACCGACATGCGACGAGGTCCAATCGGACACATTGCCGATTGATCGATTAAATAAAAAAAAATTTTTGATAGGTAGCTCATTAGAAAATTCCTAGGCATCAGCTGATGTGAGTGATATGTCCGATTGAAAATGTGCGCATCTGGGATGCTCCCCACGCGACGTATTGTAGAAGTCTTAAGGCCATATCAGACTAGCGATTGCGCGGCTACGGTTGCCGATTGACGATTCTATTTCAGCCAATCACAATGTAGCAGGTCGTGGTTATGGTCAATGTAATTGGTAATAGTAGAATCGGCAATCGTAGCCGGGCAATCGCTAGTCTGATATAGCCTTTAGGCTGATTGCACACAGGACGCGACAACGCGGTAACCAATCACCGTCTTGTCTTCTGATATGTAACGAAGTTGTTTTTTTATTTTATGAAATTAGAAGGCACTAATTTTTGATATCATATCTTTTGTTAAAAATTGATTTATTTTTTATATGGAATTGATTAATATGGAAATTTTTATAATAAAATAGACTTTTGTATATGATTTAGACTATTGTAAGATTTTTTTGTTTAATAAGATTAGAAGTGGACAAAAATTATTTTTTAATATTACATTTTTGTATCAATTAAAAATTGATTTAATAATGGCAAAGAGTGTTTGAACTTGGTGTCATCTTTTTACCTCTTTTAAAAAAGTAATTTTGTTAAGACATTATTAATGTCTGAGGAGACAATCAATTTAAATGTAATTATTGCAAAAGCTAACACATTAGCTGAACGTTTTTTGTCATCTGCTTTGTCGAATGCTTTGCACTCACCGAAACTATTTCCTTTTCATGTCCTTTTATCTCCAGTCTATTTATGTCTTGCTTGCTTTTTGTCTCTGAAAAATCTTCTAATCGTCGAATTAGAACTCTAATTGTCGCTTCATAAGATTAATGTTTTTTTACCGGGAATATCGACGTGAACAGTAACATGAAATTATTGTCCAGAATTGTCCAAATCTTGCATAACACCAAAATAAATATATGATAAGATTATTACTATTATCTTTATTAATTCCTTTATATACAGAAAATTGCTAATTCTTGACAAAATAATTAATTCATATTTTTATTAACATATATTTTCAAACGTATTAAATTTTAGAAATGGATATAGGATTATAACATACTTGATATTCAAATATTATTTTTCTTTTTTAAAGAAAATAATCCTGAAGCTTTGCTTATGTAGCTAAAAAACCTCCATCGACAGGTAAAAAAATGCCGTTGATCATGGAACTTCGGTCGCTTAATAAGTAAATGATAGCATCCACTACCTCGTCGACCTCTGCAATATAAAGCTCAAGTTACCTTCCTTGATTAAAACCGGAAAATAATGTCAGATATAATAGTGAAAAATTTCTTTAAACTACGAATAAATAAAATAAACTCTTACATATTACAATATATTAAATATGTTGTATACATAATTATTGTATACGTTAAAGTAATCTTACTAAATATTTGATAGCGCAAGTTGGAATCGATTGTGAAAAGACGTCAGAAAAGCAATTATTTAATATATCTATTGTCTAATATATAAAAGTCAACAACTACACTATACAAATACACTGTATACTAGAAATTAGGATATTATATAAGCACATGCCCAGAAAATTGCGCCTCTATCATATGTGGAAACCGAAAAGCTAAATTTGATATGCAGTGAAGTATATATAATTTTAATGAACTTGATTTGCAAGTGATAATCGTCAATTCGAATTCGAAGTATTTGAATCGCTAATGTTTTCGTGACGGAATAATCAATTTGCTACCAATAAGATGCACACACGAATTATGCTTTGTGTGTTCACTAATCTTTCGAACCGTCGACTTTTTGATGATTCGATATTTCTTTAATTTTTGAGCTGTTAAAAATAGGTATTAGCAATTGGCGAAACAATAATATAAACCGATTTACTAAATGTTAGTCCCGAACGAATGTTTGTGTCTTTATTCTGACTTTTTTATTTTGCTGATATTCTTCTCGATCGCAGGAAAGACACTTCGATATGCTATTAGAAGATTCTAAATTTGATTTTACATTTAGAATATTAAATTGTATTATATTTTATGATTATCGCGCAATTTCAAACAAAATACATAAATATTTTATAACGATGCAGTTCAACATTTCGATCAACATCCACCAGAAACCGATCGTCCATCCGTCGGAAAAAAGGCGCCGATAAATTTTTGAAACATGCATGTAATAAAATCACGCTCCACGAACCGAACGCAATAATTTCGAGACAAGCAATGAACAAACAAATCTAATGATAATTACCAACATTGGAAAACAATGAAATGTCCGCGGATCGAAATGAACTTCTCCGAAATCGTCAGAACCGCGAAGTATAAAAAGCCGCCGGATTCTTCGATAATTCAGAGAGATTCTCGATTTCTTCGAAATTGTTTCGTTGGGCTCGAATCCGATCCGACCCCCGAGAAAATTGGCGAGAAAAGGGAGATTGTGTGTACGCAGTCCCCACCAAGAGTTTATCGGCAAGACGAATTTTCATCCGCTTCCGAAATCTGCTAACCGGAGAATTACTCGAGATAACGTTCGCTGTCGCTCGGCCAAGGGCTACTGGCATCGATCAGCACTCGCACTTCGCCGATCCATTCAGTCACAGCGTAGAGACAATTGTTTCACAACAATCAGGAGTGACTGACGGTTGTGCCCCACACGCCAAGCACGGAAGGCAACGAGTGCGCTGTCTCCTCGTCAAAAGTGGTCGCCACTTTAACTCACCTTCGAGAACCGAACGCGATCCGCGTTCGCATTCGCATCGAGATCGACCACGACCGCTGTAAATATTCGCGCTATAACCGATTATAATATAATTGCGTCATTCGCTGAAAATATTCGCGCAGTCAAAGATTCATTTTATTACATTCATTATCATTGTATTACCATTGTATCGCGTTAACTAGCGTTGTAATCTCGAGTTATTGTAAAAACACGCCTTCGCGAATTCTTAATTGTATTCTTTTAATTATGTGACATTAATAAACGTACAAGAATTCCAAAATCTGATCTCATGTTATTTTCCGCGGTCAAATCTTGACAATTCGACGAACATCCAAACTGATTCAGAAAAGTCCCCGCCTCCCGTTTTAATTTTCATTATATACATTTCTTTGGGATCCAAACACAATGAAAGAAATAAAAACAAAGAATTAAATGTAGAGAATTAGGAATAAAGAATTCTGATATGGGAAATGATGCTTTTCGTATCTAATGGAACATGTATGTTCCGATCTTTCAAAAATTCACAAAAATAAAGATAGCGACTTCTTTCTGAGCTTATTTTAAAGATAAAGGATAGGATTCTAAAATATTAAATTTTATTGTATTTACATGTAAGTTGATTTATATAGATTTTTTTCTGATAATCTGAATCTGCAGTTTCATAAAAGTTTCAAAATTTAAAATGGAAACCAATATGGCAGAATGCTAAATTTTATTGAAATTAAGTGAAACTTATTTTCCAAGAGTTTTTCGAGTTGCTGATTACGAATTTGAAGTCAAAGTTTTAAAATTCAAAATCACTTGAATTGAAAGAAAACTAATAATTTTTATGATTATTAATGTATTCATGTTTATCACGTACCAGCAAATCGACCAAGTGGAATTTTGCTGAGCATGTTTTGTGCTTTCTCTGGATCACTCCAACCCAACTTTCCCATTTCCGTCATCACCACCGTAGGACCGACTGTGTTGACTCTTATGTTGTACGGGCCTAATTCGAGAGCCATTGTTCTAAAAATGTTATTATATAGAGAATAAAAATTAAAATATATCTAAATTCAAAGATATATGAAATTGAAGTCATTCTTTCAATAAAATATTAAGTCATTTATACAATTAAATCATAAAGGCTTAAATATAAAAAGCTTGGAAAAACGTGATAATAAAATTAGCGTAATTTGAGTTTCTAACTTCAACAAAATTTTTGTTGAATTTAATTTTTGTTAAGTAAAAGTCATCGCCAAGCTCATAGATACAAATATTTTAGTATTTTTCTATTTTTTTTCAACTCCTTGTATTTTTATCTATTCGTATATAGATTTACCATAAATTAATCAAACTTTGCGATTAAATATTATGTTTTTATTTTATGGATCTTTACTTTGCAGAAAAGACTCATCCTCACGAGAAGAATGAAACCATTAATTCACAGTTCCATTTTCGGTTAGTTTTTGACATACTCTCTTCTTAATAATTTATAATATTACATTTCTGTAGAAGAATATTAAAAATATCTTACTTTGACAACATGTCGAGGGCTCCTTTTGATGCGCAATAAACAGCGTGATCTTTTAATGCTGCCTGAGCGGCTTGCGATGATATATTTACAATACTGCCGCCACTTTTACGCTCAATCATACTCTTGGCTATAATCTGGGATACGTTCAATACAGCCTTTACATTAACATCGAAACTTAAATCAAATTCTTCAGGTGTAGCATCCAAGAACGGTGAAATATAAGCGACACCAGCATTGTTCACCAATAGATCGATCGGCAGAATATTCTGAACGGCTTTCCTAGTTGCATTCCAATCTTGTAGATCAACGCAGATTGGTTGAATTTTCGAATTAATCTCCATCAAATTATCCAAGTTTTTTTTCGTCTTCGAAAGTGCGAACACTTCTCCTTTATATTTTGTAAGACGAAGAACTAAATCTCTCCCGATTCCTACGCATTTATAATAATATAAGTTTACTATAAGATAAAATATCTATTTGTACTAATAATTAGTATAACAATCGATTATCTAGATTTCGTGACAGATTTATGCTGCCGGATTGATTCGTAAAAATTAGATTAAATAAAATAAATAATAAAACATATACACAGACAATATAAATATTTTGACGAATGTGCGCTTCGCATAATACAATACAATACTCTGTGCGTCCAAAAATAATTATAATTGCACGAATAAAATGTTTATATCTTTGTGATACGTTAACTTGAAAACTAGTAGAGTATTTCTTTTCGTTTCTTGCAAAATTAAATTATTTTGCAACATCGGTATTCATTTATTATTTAATTTTGATCATAGTAAATTTTTGAAGATAAAAAAGGTTGTCAAGTATAGTCGAAAAAAAATTATTGTACCAAATTAAAAGGTAACATTAGATCTAAAAGAATATACCAATCAAAGACAAGAGCTCAGCAAGCAATTTCAGCTAGTAAACCAGCAGAAAAAAAGTATCGTGTGCCGCTTGCTTAACATAGATAAAATTGCGAAATTAAATGACCTTTTGCTTATGAGAATATTTTTTTAATTGTTTTGTTGATGTCAAATATATATATAAATCCAATATATATATATATAAATCTTTAATCAACTATCATTAAACTAGCATAATATCGCCAACATCCATTTATTGTTATTTCCTCAGACCAATATATGAACATTGTACAACCGACATAATACAATATAATTACTGTTTATATATAATTAATGTTTGAAATAATATAATTAATGTTTTTTTGCTCGAGATAGTAATATTACATTTTCAATTTTGAAGAACGCTTTCTAAGAAAAATTATTTAAGAAATTTTCAAATTTGTAAAATTATAGAAGTGTAGAGAAACATACCCTGACCAGCACCAGTTACAAGAATCCGCTTTCCTTCAAAACTTATATTCATGGTTGTTAATCGATTACTAATTCGTACAGAATTATGTATAAAAATATGTGATAATCTCACACGCGATATTTGAAGTGCTTCTCCTTAGTTCTTCTTCCAGCAATGTGTCATGTTACAACTTGTGTATCACTTATGCATTGAAACATACGTAGTTAATACTACCACCATGTTTGATAAACCCAGTATCGGTTCTTGACAGTGTGGGGCCCCACAAAATACATGCATATTATATATATATATATATAGATATGTATCATTATTGTTTATTTTTACGATTTTTACCATATGAAATTCATTTTCAAGAATTTTATAATAGAAAATGAAGTTTAGTAGTTTACAAAATATATATTTCACATCAAAAGTAAATATATAAAATATTTAAGATTTATATAACATATAAAATATTTTGTAAATTATTGATTTTATATTTTCTGAATATTTTTATAAGCAGAATAATTAAAAAAATCATATTATATGTAAATCATATTATATGTAATCATATTATATGTAAAAAATCATATAATTATCATATAATCAATAATCATATAATCATTTTATTTCAAAAGATATAAGATATTGTGTTTTTTGTTTTTTTGAAAAGAGATACCTTACTTGTCATTTAAGAAATTCTGATAAAAACTACAAAAAAGATTTCCTCGTTACTTTTAATAGTTTCGGAAAGACTCACAAGTTTACATGATATATTTTGTATAAATATCGCATTATAGTTTCCACAAATGCAACCGCGCTCTATGCGGTTGCATCTTCTACATACGTAAAACCGGCCCTGAAATAGATAACTTTGATAAAGTTATCTATATTTTGTGCATATATACATATAGTATTAATTTCGGTATCATTGTTTCATACCATTTATTTGAAAGAAATATTTGTACATACATACATTAAAAGAGAAAATATCTTGATACAAAAAGTTTTATTTAACATAAGGAAATTATTCACAGTGCGTTCGGAAATAGATTTGAATACTGTCAGTACTAAAAGAAGAAAATATTGAAAATTATTGGCGTTTCGTATCTGTCATCAATAATAAATCATCCAAATATCAAATATGCTGAAAGCACGAAGTTATGCTATATTATGTCGACAAAGATCAAGCAGCAAAGGTCAAACATAAATTGCTGTAACAGATAGTGTCAGCAGAAACATAACAAACTTATGTATGAAATGTATATATTGATAATATTGGCACATTTATAAATAATATAATAATATAGTATAATTATTTATTATAGTTTGGTATAATTTATAATAGTATAAAAAAACACTCTTACATGCAATATAAATGATAATTTTTGTTATTTTTGCATATTTATATGTTAGATAGAAATCGATATTTTTTTTTATATCTGTACAATAGCTATATTTGAATGAAGGATATATTTTTTAAAGAAATCTTTAAAACTATTGTAATTGTTGTGAGAAAAGAAAATATATATCTATTATCTATATATTTATTATATGTATGCATATATATCTTTGTATTTCTAGATCTTTATTAATTTTAAACTAATAGTATATGGCAATATTCTGGCGATATATATTTCATATAAAATAAACTGATTTTCAATTTACTATCAAATTTATGGATTATTGGCAGTGGATTTTTTTGACTAGGTTATTGTAATTTTGTCTAATTTGCAATCTTTCTTTGATCACAATTCTTCTCGATTTTCTAAAAGCTCGGAATTCTCTTGCACGAGTCTTGAATCTTCCGTGTCACTGATATGTCCATCTTCTCCGGTATAATGTGTCGGATAAACTAAAAGTGGATTTATTGATAACATAATCAAATCTCTAGTTGGAAATTGAGCCGTCCACTGTTTCCTGTTGAAATAACAAGATATAAAATGAATATTAAAATTTGTCGAAACCATTTTCAATAAAAATAGGTTATATAACATAGAAACACACATAGAACACACCGCATTTTTTTTTTAAATGTTCGATTACATTTTACGATACTTATTATATTTGTTTACTTTTTGAATATTATTTTTTTCTAATTTGATTGCGTATATTGATTTTAATAAGATATACGGATATATATCTCTGAAATTATAGAAATTAACATACATGGGATGTGTGTCCGCAAGAATAGGAAGATATTCGTCAACGGGAATTAATTTCCTGAGAGGCATAGCCCCAATTAATTTCTCGGCTCCGCTTTTCGATAAAATGTAACCAAGAGTCCAGTAACTGTATCCCGCTCGCACCAAAAATTTGGATCCATCTATTAAGCTTTCTGATTTTACCAATCGTTTCCTTCCCATGTATCTAAATATGAAATTACAAAAAAAAATAATGTGTTAGTTTTAGATTCGACAGTATCAATATCGGTTCAGAGCTTTAGTGAAATAAATTTCCTTTGTTCTCTAAATTCAAAATAATCAAAATTGTTGAATTAATTTTGCTATAAGCTACAACTGAATCTATTTTTTATTTTAATTTTTATTCTCTCTTTTCTATAATTAGGCACTAAGATGCCCGTTACTACACACTATTTATTTTTTGACATTAGATATATTTTTCAATTAAATCAAATAATAAAATTCATATCAATTCTATTTATTTGTGTCTAACTGTATGCATAAGAAAGATATACATAAGCATATGTATAACATATGTTTAAAAATATGTTTAAAAATATGTTTAAAAAATGATCGACTTAAATCAACGCGGTGAAATAATCAGAATATATTTTGCTAAAGGACTTACATCAAATCCCATTCAACTTCAAGATCGAACAATTCCGCCAAAACGTACTTGATTTTTTGTCGAAAGAATGGCTCGAAACGAACGTCATCCTCCAATACCATTACGCTTTTATAATCATTTTCTAGTACCTAATATATATTTCATCAATAATTAACGAATTTTTTTTTCCATTTAAGAGTATTTTATTTACCTTTTGCCATATGGTATAATGACTGAGAAAGCAGCCAATCTCGCCCATTGTCATCGGTCTACACAATGGGAGATTAATTATTATAAGAAACATTTTATTTTAGTTATAAAGGAAATATGTAATGCACATAATTCTGTATTTACAAATCTTATATTAGATTTTATATAGATATATTAATAAATATGATAAAACATCTTATTAATAGCGAACTCACAATGATTTTGATATATGTTGTCAAGAATACTCTCCTGATATCATCAAAAGATTTCAACTGTCGCTCGATATATATTAAAAAGTTATTAATAAATCAAATTTTATGTAAAATAAGATTTTAATTATTTAGAAATAGCGATCATTTTCTGATATCAATATTTTTAAGATATATTATCATAGTCATTACCATAATATTTTGATGATTTTATATTAATATTATATGATTTTATTAATAATTTATTAAAATATTATTAAAATATTGTTAATTAACAAAGAAAATTTGAAAAATTTATATCAGTGTTAAAAGATGTAATTTGCTAATATGTGTAGACACAGTACACAGTACAGTGTGAGCGAGAAAACAAATGAATCTCTTTTACCTAGAAAAATGTGTCCTAACTTAACTTTATATAATTTTAATTTTAAATCAGAAATAAAACACCTCTAATCAAACTTTTCTGATTTGAAACTAAAATTAGTGTTGGGTTTTTTCTTGGGAATGAGAGGAAAGAGGGGTTCTGCTACACATACTGCCACACATGTAGCACATATACTGTATACTATATATATATATACACATTAGCAAATTATCCAACAATAATATAAATTTATATTTTATAAACTTCTTTTGTTAATATTTGTTTACTAAATATCGAACGATTTAGAAATTAATTCAGAAGAATCCGAGCGATACATGAATCTGTTTTGCAGGATCATGCCGAATCTGAGAGGACCGAGAAGAGTCAAAAAGGTGTTTATATGTAATCTACTTGATTTTACTGTACTCTCTCAGGCAAAAGAATGCGATACTTGATCCTCCTAGAAAGCTCTAAGAATAAGTTGATAGATAACATGAAGACATAACATATAGATTGATACAACTTATAACACATGATTTCTTTCTGCACTTCTGTACTTTCACAGAATAAGAAGGGTCCTTCTATCTGCGCCCATTATGACGAAAGACTTGATGATCTCACGCATACAATAATACAATGTAGAAAATAAATTCTACAATGAGAGAAATTAAAGGCAGTGCTAGAGGTTCCTTTAACCGAAGGAGGGCTTGAAAATATAACTCAAAGTAATACTGAAAGCATGTGCCAAAGTCTTCGCATTCATAGAATCCTTAATACAATTATAAGCAAAGAAACAACGGAGAAGGAATATGATGGCGGCAGCCAAGACTTGCATGAGCATCGTCCTTCTCCATCAGGATATTCTTCGGACAATGAAATCTCATATTTCTCTGAAGTACGGATATCAGAGAATCTTTAAAAGATTTTCACTTTTCTCATAAAAAAAGATTATTCGGAAGAATGCTCTTAACAACATGTATCAAGATCATTGAAATCAATAAATTCGCCATTAATGTGAAGTTTTAGATATACATATTCAATATAATTATTTCTTTTTAAGTTCAATTTAAATGATATAATTCATTAAATTAAATTCTTTATTCATTTATTCTCACCTTTTATGATAAGGATCTGAATATTCTGGCATTGGTATTATACCCCATTTTTTTAGAGAATTCTTGTTCAAAGTCCTGGAAATGGAATAAGAAAGAATAATAAAATAAAATTAAATAAGTAGAGAATGTAAATTTGATAATAAAAATTTTCTGGAATTAACAATAAATATATGTCACTATTTAATAGTTAATAAATGAAATAATTTATTTAATTATTCTGTACAAAAATATATAAAGCTATGATTATAATACAATGAATACTATAATACAATGAATACAAAAATATATAAAGCTATGATTATAATACAATGAATACCCTATGACATATTTTATATTTCATATAAAAATAGGCCAGAATAAAAAAGTCAGTATAAAAAAATCTCGTAAATTATTATCTTTTTGATAACTTCACCTTAATATAGTTTTATATTCAGAATAATTAGAAAAATAGTAAAATATTATATAAAGCAAATTATTTGATTCCATCTAAAAATTTTGACAGTAGCGCGACAGTGGTTCTGCAAATCAATTAATATTATAGTTCCATGTACTCATGAAATCCTACAACATTTATTTTAAATTAGTTTTATTTCAGTGAATTAATTAATTGAATATTCTATACATGTATGTACACACGCGCGTATATGTACATTTGTACATGTGTGAAAAATTATGTATGAATGCAAGGCAATATTGTAAATTGATACAATAATGATATGCAACCTCAATGAAATTCTGCAATATGTTTGCAACTTTTCTCTATTGAATGGGATATGGCGATCTTTACCTCAAATCTATGCTGTAAAATTGATAGAAATTATGTTCTCGAAGATGTAGATAAATAATTGATAATAGCAATGATTGAACGATGCAATGATTTATTTTATAAAAGCATTGTAACATTGATTATAGTACAGATGTAAAATTTTTATTTTTTAATAAATAACTAAAAGTTATGTCAATCATGCTCTTATAAAACGGATTATATAAAAACGGATTATTTAAAAAGTATATTTATTTATAATTCCGTATGACTTACCTACCGTCCACAGCATCGATAATTTCTGCTCGAATACCCAGTTCTTCAAAGAGCCTTTGCATTCTTTTACGTCTCTCTGGTCTTCTTATCAAATTTATCATGTAGATATGATCCAGACCCAGAGTGTCCTTTTCTGGATATACCACGAATTTTTTAGATCGTCCGACAATGGCAAATAATTACTAAATGCTGCATAAAACACACACAAATGCATTATATTGATTAATATTAATACTAATGCGACAATATAATTATACAATATTATATTTTTAATTAGATATCATGTATCCAATAAAAAATATTGTCAATTTTAACAATATTTAGCCACTGTATATCGATTGCTAACTTGCACTGAATTATTTGTGTTATCAATCAAAATAATATCTAACAAACATAAATAAAAAATAGTATTAATAAAAACAAAATCGATCTCTACTTAAATGTTTATTTCAATTATATTTCATGTATTTTTATTAATTTTTTAATTACTATTTATTTATATTAATTATATTATTCTTTTTAGAGAAATAAGCTTACCCAACATTTCAACTTTTGTATTAATCAATCGTTGCATATCTTCCGCAATAGTCTCCTCATTCTCCAAAGGCACCATGACGAAGCCGTAGATGTACTCATTACACACGAACAATGGCACATCTATAACACAATTATAATACTCTATAATTACAGTAAAAACTTGTTATATTCGAGAAACAAATCTAACTTTTTATTGACAAAAAAAAGAAATTTTTAAATAAACAAAAATATGAAGAAAGAAAATATACTGCAAAAGAGAGAGTTATTCTTAATTTATCTCAATTCATAGTTGAAAATTATTTTTATATCTTACATTTAAAATTAAAATTTAGACTAAAATTTAAAATTCAAAAAGTCAATAATTAAAAAAAATAGATTAGGATATAGACTAATTTCATTATTCCAAATTCTAAATATGTATAAATGATAAGTTTAAATATTCACCTGATTTATTTGCGCCTACAGCAAATGTTATGATATCATCTATAGGTCCATCGTAATCTGTTAGTTTGTCAGCCTTATAGGTAAGACGATCGGAGTCTCGTCTTCTTAGATCTATGAAAATCGCGGTATGAATCATAGGTACGTTGTGGCATCCAATTTTTTCGCGAAAGAGAATCGGTTCATAGAACTCTGTTCGCATATAATAATACTCTGCTGTTATTCCAGCCCAAAAATTACTGTACATGCCGTCCGATTTTAACAAAGGTGCCACGACAGTATGTCCCTTATATACCAAATCACGCATAGTATTCGGATTGGTCAAGAAAACATCGGCATCCAGCATCTGCAATAAATACTTTTTTATCAAGGAGTTTTTAATGTCCATATGTGTATTGACATGTGACAAAAAGGTGATATGTCCTAATATTGGCCTATTGAAAGCCGAGGTACGGATATGCTACTTATCTTCGTAACATATCATCATATACATAACAATACAAACATTAATACCATGTATTGCGCGATTTAATTTGCTTCTCGTATGATCATGGCGTATCCATATATATTATTATGAATTTCCTCATTTGTTACACAAATTTAAGCAATAAAAATGTCTGTGTAAATAATAGCGACGATGTACATGTGTATATTTACTACAAAAGATTTGGCATTGTTAACGCATGTTTTTATCTTATATTAAGTTTTATTTTATATTAAGTTTTTATATTAAGTCAACTATAAATTAATCTTTCTTAATAACTTCCTAATAAAGATTTTCTTTTCTTATAACTAACATTTAAATTTTGAAACTAATCTTAATTCTAACATGTTATTAGAGAAGAGAAGAGAATAATGAAATATTTTGTTTTCTTAAAATAACTTATTAGATATTAACACGATATAATTCTTATAAATACATGTTTATTAGTCATAAAATTCTATCAATCATTATATAGCTATAAGTTCATCCGGTATATAGAAATAAATTTAATTTACTTTCATGAAATCTGTTCCCCTCGTTCAGCACTCGCTGCGCCCTCAAGCGCTACTCATCCACATTACCAACCTCTACACCTCCCTTTCTAAGATTTTCTTTATTCAACATTATTTACTTAAAGGTTATAAAATTTTTAAATCTACTAGAGTGTCTCATATTTCTTTGCGATCTTGCACTTGTGCTTTTACTCATGTGCTTGATCATTCTCTCTCCCTATGCTTACATCTGAATCATTTCCTGCTGGATTTTCACTTGCCTCACCATCATCGCGTAGGATCTAGATTTGTTATCATAATATTCGTTTTATATATTAAAGATTTCATTTTTCTCGTCTTGACAACTTGACACGTATAACGGTTTTGCAACAAGCTTAAAACAAGACTGCTTAATCTGACTACTGTTTCATCTAACCCCTACTGTCTTTTATAAAATATGATTATAATATATGATTTCTTACCTATTCTGACTATTATAGCAGGTTCCTATATACTCTCTTTTTTAAATAATATATTTTGAATGCTGATTGTTTTTTTGCCTTCTTATCATAGTATGCCTTACATTTATTTTGTTTATTAATTAGCTTAGAATGAATTTGTTTTCTATTGACATTCATATTATTTAATAATTTTTGCAATAACTTAGTTTCGATAATTTTGATAACTTAGTTCTTAATTTTCGATTCATTAATAATTGCGAAGAGTAACCTATGTTTGTTACTTCAGTATTCCTGTAGTTTAGTAATGTTATATTTAAATCTATTGTTTTTCAAGAAAAATTTCGCTTTTTACGCCACTTTCTGCTTGACCATTGCTTTTAGAATAATGTGGATTTGATATTACATGTAGACTTAATTTGTATCTCAAAATCTTCCGCAATGCTCTAAATTTGTATGAATCAAAAGGCCTATTATCTGTAATTAAAACTGTTTTGAGACACATGAATTCTGGAATTCCATGTATCGCAAAACAGTTTTTAAATGCTGATATTATATTTTGGACGGACTTATCTCTTATTTTTATTATTTCCAACCTGGATATATTTAGCAACGCTTTTGTGCTTATTTATAAGATAACTGTTCTTATCATACTTATTGTTGACTTTTTTTTATTTTCCGGGTAATTGAAACGGTGTTCTCTTATAAATTATTATATATAAACAAAATTATAAAGAGGATAATAAAAATAGTTACAAATTATGCTTTAAATAATTTTGCCAATCGAATTAATTGCTGAATTAAAATAAATACTTTGGTTAAAGTCATCCTAAGAGAATAAAATAAAAACTCACCCAGATAAAATCCGCCCATATTTCTCTTGCATAATTAAGAGCCTGCTCACGTAAATTTATAACATGTGCGAACCTACGTGGCGACCAATCAGCGATCGTTTTCTCGTCCTCAAAACCCGTCGACGATGCATTCAAATGAACATTTAGCAAGTGATACATGTTATCTCGTGAACTAAGCCATTCATTCAGTATGTCGATCGTGTTGTCAATATTATTATCGCTGCGTATCCTAAAACAATTAATAGAAAACTTTCGTATTGTAAGCACAAAAATATTCGTATTTCAACTATATATTTTTTATGTATTAATTAAACTGCTAATTTCGCCGTTATTGAATTTGTAACGGCCTTCCAACGCCACGGATTCGTTCGCCGGTGCGGATTCGGGGGAGTTTGAGACTCGGCTAATTACAATTCATCGGTTTTATTACTTGTTTATTTACAACTATTTACACTTTGTACAATGCGTGTGATTTATGGAAACGTAACTTTGTCACGGACTTATTTTTAGGGTCTTAGAACTAATTGTGCGATAACGCACAGAAGCGCGACCTCAGAACGACCTTATCTTATAGAGACGCGTTTGCAAACTTAATTTACTGTTAACGCACGGAGGCGCGAACAGAATTTTGAATCATCATTTTTCGAATTGTTTACTTAGAGCGATTAAAATGAAACATCCTGTATACACGCGCGCATGCGCGTGCACACGTTGTCTTATGCGTCGATTTTAAAGGCCGGTATTCATAGTCAGTTCTTATATTTAAGATCGTCTTAAATAAGCTCATACAGCTATCCTATTGGTTGAAATGTTATCTTAAGACGATCTTAAATATAAGAATTGAATACTAACATAATAGTATACCAATAAGATATTTGATATGCCAATGAATTAACTATTTTACTCAACATTTCTATTTTTTTCTGTTTTCTTGGAAAATTAACCTCCGGCAGGCTATTAATCCGAAGATAGTAAGCATGTTTGACACTAAGTTTAGAAATGTCCCGAATACCTCCACTTATCATTTTATCCTTGCTTAAGATTCGATAAAAAAATAAAAGATACACGGAATCATGGGATGGATGTTTCCGAACGTAGCCTTAGAATATTGTTGCCGAAGATGAAAGGTTATGTCTTATCACTTACCACAAACTTATTCGATTTTTTGGGTAATTTTGTCGTTCCAACAGGCTCAAAAAATATGGCAATGTATGTGCCTTATTTCTGATTAGGATAGCGATTAACACAGTCGGTTCTTTCGAGATTACGTCGCATGTAACCAACCAGCCAAAAAGACTGACGAAATAAATGATTAAGCATCTTTGAAAAACCATCTTCACTGATATAAAATTAATACGTTATAATTTATTCGCGCATGTTTTTACGTAGTTTTTTCGAAAATCTAAACGGAATATACTGAGAAATGACTTAACTATATGCTTCTTCTTTTTTTTTCCTTATCACAATCCCATGGATGTGCACAATCGATAAAACAGAAATCATATGCAATATGAATCATAATTTCATTAAACCTATAAACATGTTTTTCATTTTTTCCTCTTCCTTTATCTCATGTTTCATACAAAAAATTATATATCATGTAGAAAAATTTATACAAAATTTATACTTTATGTTATCAAAATTTATATCAATTGATAAATTTCCAGTATTTTGATTACAACATTACCATTCATCTTTCTACTTGGAGGATATGAGTTTCTTTTATCTTCTTTGTTATCTCCTCCTTGTTGTCTCCTCTTTTATCTTCTGTCTTATCTACTTCTAACTTTATTTTCTTTTTTTGTGCATAACTTAGTTTGGTTTTATCAAATTCTAGAATCATTATACCTAAATCTCCGCTATATCTATTCTTTGCAACCTAATAACACACAAGATAAAATCATTTATTATATTGAAGATTAAAAGATATACCATTTAACATTTGCAAATATAATTGTACCTGTAAATATTTTTTTCCTTTTATACTAGTAAGTCTTTTATCTTGTATAATTAATACATTGTCGGCTTCTTGACTTGCTTTGGCACTACCAAAAATAGACAAAGTTGTTAATTCTTCATCTCGTTCTTTCCTTGGATGTATAACTAATGTAACATGACAATTATACTTTGTAGAAAAATTTCTGAATTCTGCTATGATCTTGTCCTGTTTCCAAAATCTATAATACGATGCTATATAAATAAAATTAATTTTTTGAAAAAACAAAATATTTATCTCACCTGTCAGTTGATTCTTCTGATATCCCCATCATAAACTGCATATTATCGATTATCACATGAGCTATGTCATGTACATATGTTGCATGTTCAACTGCCTGAAATAAAAGAGCAAAAAGTTATATACGTTAAAAGTTTTTATTTATAAATAATATTGTAGATACATATACATATATATACATAGTCATACATCCATAACAACTTTGATGTTTTGCTGACCATGAAAAGTCATAAAATAAATCGGTAATTTGTTGAAAATATCTGCATATGTGTTAAATTTATCTAAGTTATCTTCTAGAGACACCTCTGCCATTTGTTGTAACATGGTTCTAGCTAAACGAGCATTTCTGATTTCAAAACTACCCCATAATGTATTGACACCTTGCATTGCTAAATCTAGTGAATATTCACTCATAAACGTTGTTTTGCCACTACCTAAATTTGTTGATTGTAAAAAATATAATCAATAATTTATAATATAAACTATCTTATTTTAATAGTTATCTATTATTTTACCAGTTGGACCAGTTAGGATTGTAAATTCTCCTCTTCTATGTCCTTTTAAAATTCGATTTAAGACAGGATATCTTTTCCATTTTACACCTTGAACTCTATCTATATTTTGCAAATCACATAATATATCTTGTCTGAGATCATCAAAAGTAGTAATACTCTTGTGCCATATTGGTTGTGCATTCATTAAAATATTTTTAAGATCATAGCCTTTGTCAGCAGCTAGTTTTGGTCTAGGTTGTATGTCAATTGGTCTCACGAAATAACATCTTTTCTCATTTAATTTCTTAGCAAATTGTCTGGCTGTATACCAGCTAGGTTCGTCATTTCCAAACCACAAAATTAATTTTTTGAAATTTTCAAAACTTGGCAATAATTGCTGAGGCAAGTTTTGCAAATTATATGGCAAACAGATAATTACATTTGCTGCCTTTTGAAATACTAATGCTAATAAATCATGTATTGTTGGTACAACTACTGCAGTTCCATCACTTCTGGTACCCTTTTGTTTATAAATGATAAATCCACTAACATTGCTATTAGGTACAGTTTGTTCTAATTCTGATTGACTAGAAAGGATTTTATAGCCCACAATATTATTGAAAGCAATTAATGGAAAGTATAATGATGTTGGCACAGTGACATATATACCATTTAATTGTAAAATATCCTCTTGTGGAATTTTCTGTAATAATTTTCATTAATATATGTAGCGAAAATATATGTGTGTGTATGTGTGTGTGTGTGTGTGTGTATATGT